CCGTGCAGACAGTGTGGTGCTCGCGAATTTGTTTTGAACACAGTCAATGAAGTATCTGCATACAATCACAGCGTCATCGTCAGGCTGGAATGAACCGCCAAAAGACGTTTTTCATGCCGTCAACTTTTAATCAAATTTGGAGCATTATACCTACCCTTGGGGACGTTCCGTATCGTTAGCACTCATTCTGTCGGCGCGTCGTTTCTTACAGGTGTTACAGCTAAGAGTGGGCGCTCCCCCCTCCCAGACACCGCTCTTCCAAAACACCAGTCTACCCTCACTATCCATGAGGGGTTTGCATTTTTACCATCGACTCATTTTGCCAAATGTATTTTTTGTATTCTTCAAAGCACCTTATGTTTCTTTTGTTATTTTAACTTTCAGAAGTTCAATAAATTATGTATACATGCTAATATCACTGCGGTCACATTTCCTGCCGTTTCTCTTTCAGTAAAAAACACCGACACAAACAAGACCGAAGCTTTGTGTATCGTGTAAACAGTCACCACGTTTCTATCTATAAAACGGGGTTACAGCACATGTGGTGCACAGTGCACGCTAGATAGAGTTATCTTTTCAAATTGATCACTGTTTGGACTTGAAAAACTGTAGTCCATTAAACTAGAGCTTTCATCATCTCAGTCGGAGCCAAGTACACACCGCACTTCCCACAATTTACGTAACCGGACAAGTCTACGGCAATCATCCAAAAACGATTAACAAGATTTTAGTCCCGAAATAAACACACACGTATCCTTTATGGGCTAAAACCGGCAGGGAAACGGGCGACAACGCGTCTGTTCCCTGCGACAGCTTTTACGTGACTACTTTACTTTTGACGTTCGACAACAACCCGGCGTCCCAAGTTCAACAGATCTTGCACCGAGCGGTCAGACAACACTGTAGGTATAGAAATCTGGATTTTACAGGAATCCAGCAATACTACAGTTAGCCGAGGATCAAAAGACTCGACGAGTCGCCGCTCAAAAGTTTCACAAAGGTTAAAAATTCAAGGTACGTACACACCACACAGTTTTGTTTGTTGAATCCATATCCAACAAATGTTTCATTAACAGTTTGTTATCATTTAATTTCTCCAAATGACGTATACGATACATCCTTGTGGAATACTTATTTATTTTGAAATAACTCGGCATCCAGAAAGGTTTTACATCTTAAGAGTACCACCTGAAACTATAGCATTGAAGATTCTTGAATAAATATGGCTATCTATAAAACTTTTAAAACAATGATGTCGTGCGTGTCACGTTTGGTCGTCGGGCCCGAGTCGGCCGGGTGGGCGGCTCTAGATAAATAAAACCGCGTGTTGGTCTGTCTATAAATAATACGCAGATCCTGCTCGTTACATCGACACTGTGACCTTTTTATTGGTATACAGTTAGCGTTCATTAGTCAGAATTACTGTAACGCGTACATACTATTGTTATTATTACTTACTGTAATTCTCTCATCCGTCTTCCTCCTTCGCTCGCGCATGTTAATAGGATCCCACGTTTGTTTTTGCTTTGTTATGCATAGTTTAGGTTTTTACTAAGTTCTTGAACTTTGCTTGAACTGTAAGTAGGTATTTTATCCGTAATTTCCGACCCCCCAGGTCTTTCTGTCTGCTCGATATAATATGCAAAATCTATGTAAGTAGGAGTAATGATCCTTGTAGATTGTCTAGTTAATTATGTAGTAAATAACTTAACACATTAAGCGCCATAGGGGTCACCGGTGACCTCCGTTAGCGGAGGATTTGCCTTCAACAGTTTTTTGTCGGCAGTCAAAGGCTTAAATAAGGAAAAAGAACCCCTATATTGAAAAATTCTATGTTCATAGGAGTTTATATTTATTCCAAGATGTCACCACGTACGTACTGCTTACGTTTGACACATTTTAGTTTACGTTTGTGATATTTTTGCGTCCGCAATTCATCGTGCAATGAACTGAGTGAAGACAGACTGAATGTCTACCGATACGGCGCTTATTACATACAATCGTCAGTGGCCATGAGTTTTATTAATTTTATAGCCTTCACCATTACGCGTTGTTTTATACTACATAGTTAACGGTAATAAATTGATAGTGTTCTATTGCTTTGCAATTTCAATACCTCTTGACAAAGATGCTCTTGAGTCCTGGAATGTAAGCTAAAACTGAAACGCTTGTAAAAAAGCGCTCAATTTCTCAGTGAAACGAGACAGGTCACTCAAGATCGACGACCCAGAAACTGAACAAATAAAGCCGTTCATAATCCCGCTTTTCGATATACCCCCACGCGATACGCCAACTATTCGCACATGAACCAGTTTTGTAAGAGTACAAGTAACATAAACGTTTTAATGCATATTATGAATGGTTCGTTGCGCCTGCACTGTTTTTTATAGCTTTGCCGAAAATAAACAATACGATTTTTTATTAAAAACAATAACAAATATATAACTACTAGATAGTATTAATATTTATAAACGTGTACATATATACCTAGGTATTTTTTTAGGAATACAATTTTTATCTATTTTTGTTACAATATAACCTTCATAGAATACATATATCATCATTTAGATTTTAATCACAAGACATAAAATTCCCACGAGAAAAGCTTAAGAAAAAAGGTTCAATGCACTAAGTTTTGGGACTAGCAGATAACGCAAGCAACAATGGCCAGTAAACTAGGCTGTGAAGACACCAATGGTGGCTGAGTCATTTTGTTCAACTGCCCTAACCAATAACAATACACGGTCTCATTAATAATGCAGAATACCTATGCGTAATCGGTAAAGTATCGAGCGCCTGCACATTGCACGTGCATGCAATGAGGGAAGAACAAGTTATTGGTAATAAATGAGAGCTACCGTTTTTTTTTTGGTAACCAGATGACGGTAAATGTAGCTTTATTGTGTCATATGTCGGCAAACTAGCAGACGGATTACTTGATGGTAAGCAATCTGCGTCGCCAATGGAGGCTCGTAATACAAAAGGAGTTACTACAAGTGCGTTGCCGAATTGTCTTTGGATTATTAGGGATTTATAGGTACGGATTTGAGGATTGAGAAAGGGGAGGAGGAAGGATTAGGCATCCGGTAACCTCACTTACACGGCGAAACAAAACGTAAGTGTTGCTTCACACTGGTTTTCTGTGAAGCCGGGGTATCACTCCGGTTGAGCTGTCTCATTCATGGCGAAACATGGTTCTCCCACACAAAACATGGGTAGCATCCACTTCGTCACTCCATGGAGAATTGGCAAGTGTTAAATTAATCTATATTCAATATTCGATTTAACATACACACATCACACTGCATTAGCATCATCTATATGTTATACTCATTAACAACTAACTACAAACTAAAATGAGTGTCAAACTTTTACTGACTAAAAAGCCCCCGTTCCATACCGTTGTTGTACCTTCAACAGAAGTTCTTGACTACACATACACTTCCCTGCTACAAATGTTGCCAGCTAAACATTTGTTTTTAATTTAGGTAGTACTTTATTATGATTTAAAGCACACTAACTGATTCCCAGAGTGTGAAATCCAGACTGTGATTATTTCAATAGTCATTTGCATAATTTTAATCCTTGAAATTTTAATGATTGTGCTGCTAATTACATGACTGCCCAAAAACAGGATGTTATTTAGTCTACTTTCTCATAGTTTGTAAAATAATTCTAATTTAAAACAAAATAGAAATATATAATATTAATCACAACAAGAAGCTACTACATAAATAATAAGTAATCCTGCTAACTTCCAGGATAATGGATGTTTATGGTACCTAAATAATAAGTATTTTATTCATTTGCTTGAGTGAACACTGACACTATTTATATTTGTAAAGTCATTATTTTAATTTTAATCATGAAGTTTGCTATCTTTCTGTCATACTCAGAGTCATGTATTAATTACTTAACAAACCAAGGCCTTAGTTAAAAGTCATCATTAAAAGTGGGAAGGAAAATATCTTGTTTTGAATGAAACTGCAGTGAACTTCCACCACATACAAACTGAATGAACCTCAACATTAATTTTCATTTAAAATGTAAAGAGTTATAATTATTAAAGTACTTATAATAAAATATATGCAATCAAAACATCAATGACATTAAAATAAGTAAAGAATAAAGAAATATTTTAAATTAGTAAAATATTGAACATTTAAATCACTGAGTCAAATTCAATATTGTTTACATTTACTGTAAAAAATAGACCTGTAAATTTTATTTATTACTCTTATATTGGTCTCAGAATACAGAGTTTGTTCTGTATTCTGAGATATTGGTATACTTGACCACACAAGCGGAAGTGCATCTGTCAATTGACTAGATAAAAATGTATGGGCCTTTTCCTATCTGTGTAGTATTTATCATAGTTTTATTGGAACAATATTGTTAACTGGTTTGGATTGTAAGTATGAGGAGAATTTGTCTATATAGACTAGCAAATTAAATACTATAACAAATATTTTAAATGTAGGTAGGTATATGTGTACATAATTTGTACTAAAAAATAATTAGTTGAAGCATTTCAAATAAAAACAAAACAATTGTTTTTCATAGCACTATTTTTGAAAGGCAAACATATTGACATATAGTGCCGTACTTGAATGACTTTAGATAAAATAAAGAAAGTATTGTCTGTGATTTAAAAATAACAAGAATGAAGCAAAAAATTTGTTCTTTTTTTAAATGGTGACAGAAGTGGGTAAACAAGTTTACTCAAAGTGTAATTTTTACGAATTTATTGAAACGAAATTATGTTATTTGGAAGTTTAAATATTATTTCATTGCTCTAAATATCTCCATGGCAGTAAATGAATACTTATTGAAACAGTATATTTTTTCGAATGTGGAACAGCAATCAAAGTAAATTATTGCTACAGGGATAGCTCACGCAGCGTTACGTATATTCTAATACATTGTTGCTGATTATTAGTCAGGTAAATATAAAAATAATTGCATACATTCATTAAAGAACAGCATAGAAGTAATCTTACCTCTTCGACGACATTTCCGTCATTTTTGCTATATCACTGAAATCAACAACTAGTTACACAAAAGAAAATGTTCATTATACTTGTATTAGCCTTTAACTATATTATCTTGCACATTTTTAACAAATCTGTGAAATATATAACCGAGTTTTTAATACTTTTCTACAGAAATAAATACGCAAGCACTGCACATGCACCGCTTTAATTTTTTTACTGCGACAGCCACCCACAGACAACATATCGGCAGCTGTCAATTTCCTACGAACTATTCCATTCTATGCAATACTGTTAAAACTTGACAAAACGATTACATTACAGCCAAAAAGAGATAAAATCATGGATATCTTAGTTATTAAAAAAATAACAGTAAATTTAGAAGATATATTATATAACATGCAAAAAATGAAAAAAAACAAAAATGTAATTTTTTTTTATGTTGTTTAAATTATTAGAGAAACTGCACGTAAAGGAACGATTTCTTCTATTTCGTTGCTATGGTAATCCTGTTGATAACAAACGCATGGCCAATCAAAATCAATGGCCGTTGACAAAATTCCCGTGTTTAGTATACTGTCAAACTGTCATGTAATGCAACCGTAAATGTGGGCTATTTATTGATCAAACCTTTAATGTTAATCGTCAGATAAATGTAAGAGTACATTGTGTGTTGCGGGCAAGCTCGAGCGAAATGTTCAAAAACACATTTCAGTCCGGTTTCCTTTCCATTCTTTACAGTATAGGCAGCAAACCTTTGCAAATTTGGGACAAAAAGGTGCGAAATGGGCACATAAAAAGGATCACAGACAATGACATCCAAAGTTTAGTGCTGGAAATAGTTGGTACCAATGTCAGCACGACGTATATTACATGTCCTGCAGATCCTAAAAAGACACTTGGTATCAAGCTGCCTTTTCTGGTTATGATAATAAAGAATCTGAAGAAGTACTTCACATTCGAAGTTCAGGTAAGCAAACTTTATTTTACTTTGATTGAATCTACCACTTGTAATTTACCAGTTAGTAAGACAAGCAAGTATTAAAAAGGTTGTAAACACTCTAACCTCAAATCTTTGTTTACAGGTGTTGGATGATAAAAATGTACGAAGAAGATTCAGAGCTAGTAACTATCAGTCCACAACTCGGGTGAAGCCCTTTATCTGTACAATGCCTATGCGTCTTGATGAAGGTTGGAATCAAATACAGTTCAATCTAGCTGATTTTACTCGAAGAGCTTATGGAACAAACTATGTAGAGACTCTCCGAGTACAAATACATGCAAACTGCCGGATTAGAAGAGTATACTTCTCTGATAGACTGTACTCTGAAGATGAACTTCCAGCTGAATTTAAATTATTCCTACCAATACAAAATAAGACCAAAAATGCTGTGGCAACTTAAAATTAATAAGTGTGAAGATACAAACTTGTAATATCTTTATCTTAGTAAATGTATTTATAAGTTTATTTGTTTTATAATATTTAATTGTACAACTACATCCCCATTTTTATATTTTACTCTGTTTTGTGTTGGCATAAATGATAATAAATGCACCCAAAGCTGCATGAAGTTTTTGTCGAAAATAATGTACAGGTTTTCTAATATAAATTCAGTTATCTAGGTATCTTATATTTAACAATGAGAGATTGAAAGTTTTCATAGTTTGAAACTTTCAAATACATTGGATGACAAGTAGATTAGATGACTGTAGCAACATTAATAATACCAGATTACCACTACAAGTTTTTCATTCATTTTAATATCGTTTGTAGTCATTGATCACTAATAAAGTTCTTTATTAGTGATCGATCGACGATGTTTGTAGTACACAGGGTAGAGTCATCATCTCTCATCTGACTAATAATTTATTTAGTTATCGCCTTATCCCCAAACCCCACTATTTTATTACCTACCTAGCAGTAGTTGAGATGCAACGTATTTTTTTTTTTCTACATTAGTGTACCTACGACAGTGAAACTCTGCTAAAGTATCTATAGATAGATTAACCCACGACGATACGTTGCGAGCTCTGTACCAAACACGACGGAAAGCAGTATTGGCAGCAGTAAGCAGCCCAACCCCTAAATCGCAATGGGGCCCTTGACAAAATAAACTTATTGAAGAAATAGTCAACAAACTAAAGAATTTGAACCTGAAGATTAAAATATTCTTCAATAATCTTGTTAGTGTGAAATAAAAAAGAATAATGTTCAAAGATTTAGTAAACTGTTCAAAATTAGCTTTAAAAGAAATAAGCATAGTGCCAATCAATTAATGTTTCAATTTTTATCCTCGTAAGTAATTATTTGATTCTTCTTTTGCTCTTGCAAAAAGTAAATTATTAGTCTTTTTAGTTTCTATGTAATGTTGTGGTGTCATTAGGTAAACGTCAAGTTCAGATAAGAAAAGCAAATTGTGACCACATCACTATTTACCGAAAAATGGCGTTGACAAGTATCGGGAGATTATTTTTACCATTAATTTTATTAGAAATATGTGTTAAATGCAACGCTAACGATATTCTAGGGTGTGGTGGATTTGTTAAAAGTCATGTTCCTTTAGACTTTTCTAAAATAGAAATTGGACTGTAAGTTAACCTATAAGCTTTTACTAATTTAATTTGATGACCTGTAGATACTTATTTAATTGCTTAAAATTGTATTAAAGCCTCAGTTTTAATAGTGTAAAATGTAAGAAAAATTAAGATCCTCACTATTAAAATTTTTATGCATATATTTGTTATTACTAGGTACACCAAAGAAGGCAGTTTAAAAGAGAAGACTGAATGTGCTCCTACAAATGGTTATTACTTTTTACCTCTTTACGAGAAAGGGGAGTACGTGTTAAAGGTTCACCCTCCTGCTGGATGGAGCTTTGAGCCATCCGAAGTAAACTTGTCAGTTGATGGGACAACAGACCGTTGTTCTGCCGGGCAAGATATTAACTTTGCTTTCAATGGTTTTGGTATAACTGGTCGGGTGATCACGGCTGGACAGAAACAGGGTCCTAGTGGCATAGCTGTACAGTTGATAAATGACAAAGGTGATGTGCGGAATACATTGACTACAGTAGGGGGTGACTTCCATTTCACCCCTGTGATACCTGGGAAATATAATGTTAAGGCTTCTCATCCCAAGTGAGTATTACATTATTACTATAGTCTTTATCTGTGTTGGATTTTTCTAACTAAACAGAAACAAAAGTTGTTACAAATAAAAAGTAAATAATTACACTGTGCTTTGTAGGTGGAAACTAGAGCCCAGTCAAGCAGTGGTTCAGGTGAAAGAAGGTAACACTGCATTACCTGTTGGTGTGCTAGCAGTAAAGGGTTATGATGTCACAGGTTCCGTCACATCATTTGGCAGTCCTATTCGAGGCTTGTATGTTTTGCTGTACTCAAAAGAGGTCAGTTTTCTAATCTTAAAGAAATCTTTTAATATTTTTATTAAATCTTTTATAAGATATTAGTAATTAGCTTTAATCACAGTTGGCAATATCACAACTAGGCTTGTGGCATTGTATGTTGTTGGACAATACTGCTTCTGAACTGATTGGCTTTAACTAGGAAGCCCATTAAATGGTTATAATAGTAAATTGTTGTAAACTGTTTTAATACTAAACATAAATAATCTTTTAATTTAAAATGATGCCAAAGTAATTGTTCTGTCTGTTCTAGGAAAGCCCCAAGTTCCGAGTGGAAGGCTGCAACACAGCACTTCTTCAAAGTGTACCTGATTCTCCGATCTGTCATACCATTACTGATGCTAATGGAGAGTTTAGTTTTGGCCTCGTCCCTGCAGGAGAATATAAACTTCTGGCATTATCTACAGCTCCTGGCCAGGTGGCCATAAGCTACAATGTGAAGCCTGAATCAGTTCCATTTACTGTCAGACATGACAGTCTATTTATCAAGAATGCCTTTGAGGTGAGTTTTATCATAGAAACTTTATTTATTTTGCCAGTACAGATCACTTATCTATTCAGGTTATCTCTACTACACAGCCTTTTTACATTCTTCTAAACATTTATTAATAATAAAGAAGATTTTTGTAGGCCCAATAGATAATAAATGATATTAAATTTTCAGGTAACTGGATTCACAGTTGTTGGGAGTGTGGTGAAGTCAGTAGGTGGACCAGGTCTCTCTGGGGCCCGTGTGTTGTTGGACGGCAATGCAGTTGGTACCACTGATGGCACTGGCAAGTTCACACTGCCTACCTTGCAGCCCTCTACTTATACTCTGTCATTTGAACATGGTAAGATTCATCTTTTCTATACAATGTCGTTTTTTCTTATGTCTAATTTCAATAACTTCCACATATAGTAAATGATGTTCCACATTAGAATGACAAAATGATAAATTTTAAAAAATGTTTTCGGAATATTAAATACCTAGGTACTATCATACCTAATTATAAAATAAACTTAGTTATGCCTTCTGTTGCTGCACCCTAACAGAACTATAATATGTACAAATGCAAATTAATAAATATGAATGTGTTTGCAGAACAATGTGAGTTGGACGATGTGCAACTGGTAGTGTCCCCGACGGGTCCGGCGGGCGGGCCACAAGCGCGCGTGTCACGCTGGCGAGTGTGTGGCGCCGTGACGCCGCCCAGCGCACGCCACGTCTTGCTCGCGAGGCAGGGAGCCGAGCCTTTGCGGATCCCCTCGGACACACAGACAGGCTCCTGGTGCACCTACCTGCCTCCCGGCCTCTACAACGCCAAGGTCGACGTCTCCGACCAGGAACAGAGGGATGGACTACAGTAAGTGTTCTCAATTATAGAAAGTAAAAGGCTCTAAGTAAGGTTTATTGGATCATTAATCAATGAACTGTTTTTGTATTGAAGCTATGAGTTGTAACATGTTATTATCTAAAACAGGTATTACCCACTGAGCCAGAAAGTGTCAGTGGGCAATGGGCCGGTGTCAGGCGTGACGTTCTCGCAGTTGAAAGGCAAGCTGAGCGGGCGCGTCCAGTGCAAGATGGCCGCGGCCTGCGCAGACATACCTGTCACGCTGCGACCGCTCTCTCCTGACGGCGGCTATGTTGGCCAGCCCATGACTACTGTTGCTAAAAGTGAACTATCTTTCAACTGTATTAAACCTGCTTCAATAGATTCAGAGCATGTGACAGCTATTTTCATATTTTATTTTTGTATTATTAATATTTATGTCACAACAATTTGACTAGACTGCACGGTTAGTGCGGTAGCTGGGCAACTGGCTGCGGCGCAACCTGGCGCAGTTTCGATTCCCGCACGGAAAAAGTCTTTGTGCGATCCAGAAATTGTTGTTCTGGTTCTAGGTGTGATGTGTATGTGAAATTGTATGTTTGTAAACGTACCCACGACACAGGAGATAATACTAGTGTGGGGCTAAGGTATTCTAAAAAAAAAATTTGTCTGTTGGCTATATCTTAAGGCAAAAATATATTAAGTACTGTGTCGTGGCCGTGGCGTGTCATGTCGCGCTATGAGCCTATCGGTTTCATACATTTACGATGGTAAGGGAAATATGCGTGTCGCATAAATCGGGAACACGCCACACTTGTGTGTGTGTGTGTGTGTGTGTTTCTAACTTGACGTCAGCTATTACCACAATATAAGATTATTAATAATATATGTTTATTTCAATTTCCAGATGGCAAATATACATTTGAAGAAGTCCTCCCCGGCAGTGTGGAGATCTCAGTAGAGAGTGACGTGCTATGCTGGGCGGAGTCCAGGCATAACGTGGCGGTGACACAGGACCATACAAACGTGCCCACGTTTGAACATACTGGATATGTGCTCCGGATACACTCCACACATGAAGTTGAGGTATGGGATATGAAGGCGATATTAAGTTTGAACTGCTTTGAGAAAAATTGTTATGAGTTGTAAAGTAAAAAGTTATACTTTTTCTTTCTTTCTTTCTTCTTTCTTTCTAGTTGCGTCTGTAGGGCAACACTAACGCGAATTTGTGCTGTAATATAATTTAAAATAATATTATGTACAAGTATGGTTTGGTCAAACAAAATATGCAGTGTTTAAACGTTTTTACTAATGCTTAGAGTCCTGGGCTGAATGTAATGACTATAATACATATATGATGTTTGTGTCTAATGAACATGATATCTGTAGCAACCATAAAACTACTTTTTATTCTAGTTAAAGTAATGAGAAGCATGTCCTCACATTTTAAGTCTACGAATTTATAGAGACACTAGCGGTGTCTGATCTGTCCCTGCTTTGCAGGGGTCCAATTTTCTCGCTAATGACGAAAGGGTTCCTATTTTTTAGGTCCCCGATTTACTTTTCTAAAATTTATTTCATAAGAATCTTCTTTTGGCAATAACAAATATAAATGAAAAATAAATTTGTTTAATTGGTCCAGGTGTTGTTGAGTTATGTGCCTACTAGCACATTTTGTGATTTTTTTTATGTGATATGTCAGCAAATGAGTAGATGGATTAAGAGTATGTTGCTGACCTTTTGGGATTTGGGATTGAGGGGTTGGGGGGATTTATAGTGACAACGTTCTTATTGTTGAAAAATATGTAAGTTGGGGGTGAAGTAAGAGTACTATTGGCATGTTAATTTCCCTTAGGTGGAGTACAGCAGCGCGTCGTCGTCGGGCGTGCTATCGGTGCCTGCGGGCGCGTCGTCGGCGTGCGTGCCGGGCGCCGAGCTGTACCGCGTGGCGCCGCGCGGCTGCCACCGCTTCCAGCCCCCACACGCACTCGCCGACACCGCCACGCTCGCCCCACAGGTATATACATTTATTTATTACCAGCTCGCGCTCGCGGCTTTCTTCCAGTCAATTACCTTTTGTTTTTACTTGCTATAAACTAGTGCTTGACGTAATGCAATCGTTGATGGTAAGGGGCACTAGTTTATTGAGAACCTATTCACTCTAGCCTTGAACTTGAACTTAACCTACTCTTCTCACCCTACACTATCTGCCCACCTGCCACCCTACACTACTTACCATATCCTGCCCTACCTGCCATACCCTACCTACATACCTATGTCCTTCTCCCAGTTCTTAGCTACCTCCCGACCAATTTTCAGCCAAATCAGTTCAATCGTTCTTCTATACTAATATTATAAAGAGGTATTTGTAAAGTTTGTATGTAGGGGGTAATCTTTGGAACCACTGGTCGGATTTCCAAACTTCTTTCACTTATAGATAGCTACAATGTTACTGAGTGCTATAGGCTATAAAATATCACGCTACGATTAGATGGAACCTAGCAGCGGGTGAAACCGCGCGAGAGTAGTATTCCAACTAGTCAAATACAGAACTTTTATTACATATAATCTTCTGAAAGACTCAGTTAACCATTGTTCCTTATTTATAGCACATAATTCCATTACAAATCCTTTTTCTTTTTATCATATTATTTTATGTAGTTTTTTTTATTTATTGTATTATGAAAAACACTGTAATAATTAATAATAATTGAATTTATAATTTATTACAAATTCAATTGATTGTCTCTTAATGGATGGATTCAATTGATTCTCTGGATGTTACACATCAAAATATCTCCATACATAAACATCACAGATAACAAAATATATCTGTTTGTTTTAGACGGTGTACTTTGTAGCGACGGCGCATGCGGTGGTCATCCGCGTAGCGTCCCCTGTAGAAGTAGACGATATGATGCTGCACGTGGTCACGGACGGGGCGCCGCCTCAGAAGGTCGGCCCGCTGCCTGCTCTGGCGCAGCCTGGAGGTGGATTCATGTATGAACACACCCTGTATTTGGCTGATGTAAGTATTCTTCGAATCGATTTTAAAGTGTTACGAAGTGTGAACATTGAAAAAGCAATAATGCTTATATTCAGAGACGACGCGTTTCTAATTTCTTTCGGTATTTCAGTGTCTATTAATGGCATTGATTGTTCAGCAGTTTTTGAGGTTTTGAAAAACAATGTTTGGGGAAAAAAGGGTAAAGTTCTCTAAGCTAGAAAAAGTGATGATCCTTGATTAAGCAAGGTTAATACTAGGTGGGCTACTGTCGAATAGTTGTGGGATTTACTATGCATATTAATCTGTGTTCAAATTTGATTCGGTTGTGTGTTATGAAGTCATATGTTAATTTTGTATTTTATTTGTTTAACTGTTGTCACAAAAAGTTTAAAGGGAGGCTTAATTTATTTTATTTATTTATTTTTCATTATATCGTAAAGTACATACAATATACACGAAACATAATATATACAATAAAATCCGCTAGGTGGCGCTGTACCTATGCGCACGTAATTCAAACGCTCCGTATTTAGATATCTTTAAAATATAGAAATAGTGCCTAGAAAGTTAATAAAAGTGTAAAAACCAATAAAACATTATCTTATGATTTAGTGTCAGTGTTTTCCAAGAGATTTGTGCATAAACAGTGAAGCAAAAACATAAACTTAAAAGCGTGACTCTCAATACTAAGTGAATAATATTAATATTTAGATACTTTTACTTCGTACTCTGAATAATAAAATAAATACTTCTTACAAAGTGCACAAACTACAATATAAAGAACATTAAATCAGATGAGATAAACCAAACAACAAACTAAAAGTGAAAAAGTGATGTAAAAAAAATAACCGCCAAAAATTCAATTTACCGTAAACATAAAAGACATTGACCTTCTATTTGCTTTATTCCCAAAATCTGTCAAAATAAATAAACCGTTAATTTCGTCACAATTCTTAGTGTTGGAATGGCAGAGTGTACCAAGTTCCTACATTTGTGAAAGTTAGAACCGTTGTAATGGGAGCGGGATCGATCCCTAGTTCCAACAATACATTTTTCGAAAATTAAAATTTTTTATCTGCTTACTCTTGTATAACATTAGCACAAAGAGTAATTTAAAAGAGGAAAAAGAGTATTTTGTATTATTAAAATAATAAACAAATACAATAAAACACTAAACTTGGTATTTAACCAATGATATACTAACGACATCTAGTGGCCAAAATGGCAACCAGAGCGAACGTTGCCAAAACCACCCACAAGATGCCAGTACTGGTAACTTGCTACAGATGCAAAAAATCTGTAGACGAAAAGAAAACTGCTTTGTGTTCTATTTGCAAGAACCGAATGGAACCGGATTGCGATGGTTATCCCTTACAAACGTACCGATTAAAAAGCCAAGAATCTAAAACTAAATGGCGTTGCAGTAAATGCACAAAGAAAACAGTTCCTAAAAATGTTCCTTCTCCTGATGATAACATATCAAATAATGTAACAGTGAGGAAAAAGCCCGCATACTCTATAAATCATCTACACACTGATATCTACAAAAATAAAAGAAAATTGTTGAGTCCTAATCAGGATTCACATATACTCAGTGATTATGACACCTCATGCGAAACTGACACCAATACCCCGAAAAGATTATTGACTGATAGCTTAGACGGCTCTTCTACTATTAAATCACCAATACTATATTACGAGATGCAAGATACAATAGCCCAGCTGACCACAAAGTTAGAATGTGCAGAAAATGCATTGGAATGTAAAACACTACAAAATAACGAGCTAAATAAACAAGTCGAAGAATTAACTAAAGAAATAAAGCTATTAAAGTCCATATGCAATTCTTCTACAATTATCGAAAGCAGCCCTATTGTCAATAATAAAAACAACAGACAATCTTTCACGAGTCAAGATATCTTTTCCACACCTACATCTGGGAGACTACCGCTGGACGTCGAAGATCCTACCGAAACCACATACCGACACTTACATAAAACGATCGCCACATTACAAAAAGAACTCACCTGCGCCGAGCAAGAGATAAAAACCCTCAATGCACAAATACAGGTACTGGAGCAGTCTCTTAAAAACAAACAAGAACAACAGCAGCTAACTATAAAAACTAAAAAACCCATACAAGCCTCGCTATATGACGCTACGTGTAAGAATACTATCAGGGTCTTTGGCGCACAACAATGCGTCGGTCTAGCAGCAGCTCTTACTCGTTCCAGGGAGACCACGAGGTATGTAAAGTACGATGTAAGAGGCGAAACGATGCCAAACGCCCTCAGCGACACCATAGTGAAGAAATGTTTTAGCACTAAGTTATGTAATGATGATAAAATTATAATATGCTTAGGTGAAAATGAATACGATATGAAACATGTTCTATCTCAGCTAAAAATTTTTTTACAAACATATTGTAGTAATAATGTAATTGTACTAAATGTACGCAAAAGCAAATATCTAGATGTCAACGAGTTAAATTATCGAATTGAAAAAATCTGTAAACATTATAAAAATTCTAACTTTATTAACTGTAAATATTATAATATGCCAAAACTTTGCAAAACAATTAATTACACCGTAGATTGTACTGATTATGAGAGTAAATATTTAAATCCTAGGGAAATTAGAAAAAGGTTAACGGGTATTAATCCAAGTACAATAACAAATAATAACTTAAACACCTATAAAAAGGGTACGATACCATACTATTTTAAACGCCAAGAAAATCAATACTTGCTCAAAAAAGTTATCAGTAATACAAAGTCTACTGAAACATCTAAGAGAGGTACAATTCTTCATTATTTTCCTATAGTAAATAAAAAAAACGAAACTACATTTTTTCGTGCATAATGAAACAAACCCATTGGATATAAAGTTTAGGGTTCTTCACCAAAATATTGCTAGCTTATTGTCAAAACAAGAACTACTTGAAATTACTTTACAAGAACTACAAGAAAAGCACAACGATCCAGATGTAATATGTCTCTCGGAAACATTTGTAAAAATGGGCCATGAAGGGTATGTAAAAATATTTAACTATGTAATGGCTGCTAATTACTGTAGGGAAAAAAGCAGAGGTGGGACTTGTATATTAGTAAAAAAAGGTATAACATATAAAGAATTACTATTCATGAAAAATTATGTTACTCCTAACATATTTGAGGTTTGCGGTATTGAGCTCACAAATTACAAAATATTAATTATCTGTTTATATAGAACACCATCCTCGGATCCAAATTTGTTTATACATAAATTGCACAATCTTATGCAAGAGCTTGTTAAAAAATACAAATTAAAAATACGGATTATTTTAGCTGGCGATTTTAATATAAATACTCTGAAAGGAGGTAGCATATGTAACGAACTAAAATATCTTGCCTACAATTATAACTTGAAAATTCACATCAACATACCTACTCGTAAATTAACTTGCATTGATCATATACTAAGTAACATACCGGACGCAACTGCAACCGTACTGCCTCTTAATCTCTCTGATCATGACACTGCCCAAATGCTAACGTTTCACGTAAAAAATAAACCCCGGAAGCAGGCTGAATACTTTATTTATAAAAGGGATTATAATCAATATAACTTAAACAAGTTTAGGGATTGTCTAGAAAAATTGTCATGGTCGGATACATACTTAAAAAATGATGCAAACGAAGCATTTAGTAGTTTTCATGAATTATTATGTTTATTTTACAATTTATGCTTTCCAAAAATTCGAGTAAAAATTAAAGATAATTATAAAAATAAACAGAATTGGATTAGTAAGGGCTTGAAGCAAAGCTGCAAAACCAAACGGACATTACGATATCTATACTATAAAAACAAAAATACTGTAAACAAAAATAAATATATATCTTACTCAAATATGTTAAAAAAATGTATAAACCACTCAAAAAGAAATTCGTGCATACAATTTATAAACAGCAGTAACAATAAATGCAAGGCCACATGGGCGATTATAAAAGATGAAATAAATTCCTCTAAAACTGCCGTTCATGTGGATAATATTAAGCAGGCAGATGTGGTTCTCACGGACCCTCAGGAAATCGCTACTGCTTTTAACAATCACTACACACACATAGAACACACAGCACCCATACCACATAACACTCATCACAAAATATCACAAATTAATTATAAAAGTAATCGGGGAGTAAGCAACACAATCTTTCTTAAACCCATGACACAAAGTGAAGTAAAACAGGAAATAATGACACTTAACAATACTAATTCAGAGGGCTATGATGAAATTAATACAAAAGTAATTAAAAAATGTATAAATGAATTACTAGAAATTGTCACATATCTGATAAATTTGTCGTTCTATGGCGGAATCTTTCCTGATGCATTAAAATTCTCTATAGTTAAACCTATATTTAAAAAGGGAGAAAAAGAATACCTGTGTAACTATCGACCGATAACCTTAATACCAATCTTATCTAAGGTATTTGAAAAATGTATGCATAAGAGACTTACGGAATTCTGTAGTAAATATAACATAATAGATAGGGATCAGTATGGTTTTCAAAAAAACAGATCTACAACTATGGCAACCTTTACTCTCATGCAAGAAGTGTTATCTAAAGTTAATAATAACTATTTAACTACAGGTTTATTTTTTGATTTAAGTAAGGCGTTTGACTTAGTTCCACACAATCTCCTACTACAAAAACTAGAAAATAATGGTATCAGAGGGCCGGCTCTTCAATGGATAGAAACTTATTTAAATAATAGGCAGCAATGTGTTGCTATCAACAAACTTAATAAAAACCGGGAGATGGTTCAATATTTATCCGAGTACAAAGATAATAGATGTGGAGTGCCACAGGGGAGTATATTAGGTCCTATTCTATTTGTCTTATATATAAATGATATCACTCACATTACAAACCATAAATGTACATTATATGCTGATGACATCTCTATTATAGTAACTTCTAATAAAAAAGATAACACGATTACTAACCATGAAATAGAAATAAATAACACAATAAATATAGTAATGAAATGGCTAGATGCAAACAAATTAAAAATTAATTTAAATAAATCTGTTTACGTTCAATTTAATAAAAGTAACAACAATAAATATAATATCAAGTTGAATATACACAAGATACAAGAAGTTACACAAACAAAGTTTTTAGGGTTAGTTATTGACGAACATTTAAATTGGAAAGCACACATAGATCTCATAACATGTAGGATAAATAAATTCGTATATGCTCTAAGACAAATAAAAAATATTACAAATACTAACACAGCAGTAATATCTTACCGTGCATATGTAGAATCGTTATTGCGCTACGGACTATTAATGTGGGGTAATAGCACAGACATACATAGAGCTTTTATCGCGCAGAAAAAATGTATCAGAGCAATATATGGCCTACAAAATGACGATTCTTGTCAACCCAATTTTAAAAAACTTGGATTACTACCTTTACCATTACTCTATATATTTGAAACTTGTAATTTTGTGCATAAGAACATAGAATTATTTAAAACTGCAAAAGACATATATCCACGTAGCCGGCGATATCCGGACAGACTGGTCCTAAGTGATGCACCCAGACTCACTAAATATAATAAAAGCTGTGTAGCTATGTCTATAAGAATATATAATAAACTACCATGTCAAATTAAAGCACTAAATATAAAACTGTTTAAAAAAAAGTTATACCACTGGCTAAATGAGCAAAATTTTTATAGTGTTAAGGAGTTTCTGGAATCTAAAGTTTAAAGATCCTGAACAAGTAAAATTGAATATTTGCATGCTATTTACGATGTAGCTAAAACATGATTGTACTTATTATTATTTCTTGTAACACCTTTATACCATGTTTTAATGCGAATAAATATATTATTATTATTATTTCTTGTCATATCTTATATTTCTCCCATCATAGTGGGGTTTTAAAAGAGGCACGGGCCGAAGCCAAGTGCATTAAGCTTAAAAATTGTAATAATAGAAGCTAAGTGTTTAAAAATTTTCGAGTTAGGCGGCATGTATTTAAGACTACTGCTTTTTGTAAAAGCAGGTAGGTTGCTGGACTAATATTTAAAGAATGGAGGCTGCTGTGGAGGTTTTTTGGGATGACCCCTGTGGTCGACAAAATGATAGGTATAGTTTTGGTGTGGGTTATGTTCCATTGCGTTTTGAGTTCATTATTATTATTACAAAGTTGAAGATAGACTTGAAATCTAACTCTATGGTAGTGGTTGGGTAACTGGTTGCTGTGTAACGGTTCTGTCACGCAATAACCTTTGTGTGATTTACAAATTGTTTTTTTTGGGTTAAGGTAGCTTTGTGAAATACTGTGTAATAGTTACGAGTACGTGTACAAATCGATCAAGGAGAAACACTTGGTAAATTTTGGCACTTTTACACGTTAAAACTGTCGATGTTTTAATTAAATTTACGATAGTTATTATAAAAACATGTCGATGTTTTCGCAAGATAATGAATAGATCTGCTAATGAGTAGGTTTTTATTTTTTTGTGAGGGGAAAATCATCAAATGACTTCTCCCGCCCAGGGCCGGGCAGGAGGGAGTGTCAGACTCTTACTGACTAAAAACCCCCTGTTCCTTCTCCTGCTCTGTGCCGAGGTCGCGGTACCTCATTGCGCTTACCCCGCAACTCCGGCTGAACATCAGCCCTTTAGGGCCCCGTCTGTGGTGGTCTATTGGCTCTTTGAGGCGCGCGCGGAACGCTACGCGCCGTACGCTCGGGCCTGGTTCTGGTCGGGCGGCGAGCTGCCCTTACTCGCCGACCGCAGGCCCGTACTTACGGTGGTCGGAGATCGTCCCTCGATCCCCGACGCCCGTAGTGTCGCCAGTTGCGGCTGCTGGGGCGTGAGGAGGGGGATTGCTCCCTCACGCAGGCCGCCTCTCTCTTTGCGAGCATGACTGCTTCACAAAAGGAGGAGACGGCGTCCCAGTTCCTCTCACTCCGCACCATGGCCTCGACTAAGGCCGGGCGCGAGAGGTCGCCGCCCCCGATCACTTCCCTGAGGATACGGCGGTGCTCAGCCCAGGCAGGGCATACCGCTACCGTATGCTCCACCGTATCCTCTAGGTGGTCCTCGCAATGACGACACTCAGGCGTGTCCTCCCGCTGGATCCGAAACAGGAACCTACCGAAGCTGCCGTGCCCGGTAAGCACCTGCGTCAGGCGGAAGGTGAGGACGCCGTGGCGTTTCTCAAGCCACTCCTCAAAGAGGGGTCTTACCGCTGCTATAGTAGCGTGCCCGGCCCTCGGTTGCGACAGTCGCTGCTTCCACTTAGCCGTGAGATATCGCCGGAGCTCATTCCGCCACGCACTAATTTGGCGCGGCAGAGGATCCTCGCCCCGGCGACGCGCGTCTGTGCGCAAACTGTAGACGCGTGCGAGCGCCGTCGCTTCCAGATCCCATGGCGGTGATCCGGCAAGGAGGTTCGCCGCCTCCCCGGAGATCGTGCGATACCCGCGGATTACTCGTATAGCCATGACCCTCTGGGACGCGACCAGCGTACGAGCCGGCCGCCGCTTCAAGTCCGGCGCCCACACAGGGGCACCGTAGAGGGCCATGGATCGCACAATCCCGTTTGGCCCCCCGAGATTGGGAAGGAGCCGCTTGAGCGCGGCCCCAGACCGTTCCAACTTAGTAGCCAAACGACGAAACTGCTCCGTGAAGTTCCATCGGCTGTCGAGGACGAGACCCAGGTACTTCATCGCCGACTCGACGCCGATGGTAACTCCTCCTGCCGTTATTTGGGACCCATCTGGAGGTGGCGCGTTCCGACGGCCATAAAAACACATGGCCTCGGACTTGTGAAGCGCCACCTCGAGTCCCAACTGCCGGATCCTTGCAACGACTGTCGCAACCGCTTGTGACATCAGGTCGGCCGCCGCCTGATGCGACCTCCCGTTCGCCAGCACCAGCGTGTCCTCAGCATAACAGACAATGCTGACGCCGCTCGGGAGGTGTGCGTAGCACCCAATCAAAGGAGAGGTCCCAGGACCGATCCCTGTGGAACACCGGGCGACACCTCTAGCCGATTCCACACGCCCCGGTGACCGGGGTAGATGACGCATCTGTCCGTCAAGTAAGCCTCGACTACACGACGGAGATAGGCAGGCCGGTGATACCGGAGTGCCTCTAGAATGCAGCTCCAGGGCAACGAGTTGAAGGCGTTGGCGATGTCCAGAGACACCGCCACGACGACTCGCCCCCTGGCCAACGCAGTCGATGACGGGTCATGAGGTCCCTCACGCGCATGATGGCGTCCACCGTGGAACGCCCTCTGCGGAAGCCGAACTGGCCGTCCGCTAGATCCGGTCCCCTTCCAGGCAGGTGCCCGACGAGGCGGTCTGATATTATCCTCTCGAACAGTTTTCCCACCTCGTCGAGCAGCACAATGGGCCGGTACGCGGACGGAGAGTCCGCAGGACGCCCCGGCTTCTTCACGAGGACCAGTTTACCCGTCTTCCACGACAACGGAAACTGGCCCCTCTCCAAGCATGCGCTGAAAAGACCAATTAGTCGAGACCTGAGAGCCTCCGAGGCCAGGACCCAAACCTTGGCATGCAGCCCGTCAGGTCCTGGGGCGGTGTTCTTGCCGCTCAGCCGGCGCACCGCCACTCCGCCACTCTCAAATCTGCAAATGAGTAGGTATGGTGATGTTTTTGTTTAAGTGACGTAAGTGTGTGTGTGTCAGGGCGAGGTGGCGCAGGTCCGCGCGTCGTCGGGCGCGGCCGTCTGCGGCGCCGCGCAGGCCGTCGCCGGCCGCGCGCACTGCCAGCCCCGCGCGCTCACGCTCACCGCCAGGCCGGCGCGGACCCTGCGCGGCCAGACCGTCCCGCCCGTACCCGGCGTCACCGTCACGCTCGTCTCAGGTAACTAACTACTTTCACTAAATATTTCTGCATACAGCTTATGTCGATCAAAGATATTGTAACTTCCCAACACTGAATAGGTCGAGTAGTTTCAAAGACTATTCAATTCAAACAAACAGTTTATACTACTTAAAGTAGTCGCTAATATAGAGGTGTTTCATTTTATTTATATTCATTTTCACACAATATACCTTTGATTGTTACACCTAGACTTGCTCTGCATCAAATTTAGAGTTGACTGGTAGATATGCTTAGAACATTAAATTCATCACTATACAAAAAGATAGTTATCAACGAAACAAACATAATACTTTTTCCGAAATGTCTCAAATGCCGCTTTTTATAAAATGCGACTTTAAATCTTTTCATTTACATCTATTACTTTTAAAACAATACAAATATTAAGCATTGTGTTTCGCCATGTGAATAAAGTTACTGAAAGCCCAATTCTTCCCCTCACCCAATCCCTAAATCTACGAACATCTACTCTTAAAAAGGCAGACAACCTTCAACAACGCACCCGCAACTCAGGCACAATAAATAAATACAGAAGTGACTGAAACTAACCAACCGTAAATTAAAATGTTCAAAATAAAAAATCTCGTTCCAACTCAAACAATGGTTTTTAAAGAACTAAAGACAAGTCCTATAATAACATATCACAAAGAATACGGTAGTTTCCAACTAGTCAAATTAAATACTTTTATCCAAACGTCAAAAACCACAGAACAGAAAATTAAGTAGAAGTGCCCCTACACTCTTTCAAAAGGAAAACCAGTGTCGCCAAAATCACACATTGGCAAATCAAATTGCCCATTACACACATAAAAAACAGCTATATAATTGGGTAAAAAGATGAAACGCAACTTTAGCAAATCATCTTTTAAATGTTGTTAAAAATTGAGTCTTATAACAATGAGCGAAAGTTGTTATCATTTCACATGTCACAATCAATAAAGGCGCCTATCGTGTAAAAAACTTAAATAAAACAATTTACAAACGGGTTCAGCCACTCAACGCTAGATGGCGCTGTAACAAATTCATTCTATTCAAAACGCTAACTTCTTTGAAATAGATGTCATATTTGTATGCACTTGTACCAATAGACATTTACTATTTTGCTACTCAGATAGGGCAGGGTATCCCAATATATCGATGTTTTTGTATTCGTCTGAGCAATATAATTTATCGACACGATATACCTACAAATGATTAGTAATGAAAAAGGTTCTAATAGAAAAAAAGAAAAATATTAACATATTTTTTGAAGATTTAATGTTTTTTGGAGATGGTCAAGTTATTATTAAAGATTTCGATTTTAACATATAAAAGCACTACGCGCTCCTACAAGTTTTATCTCCTTTCCATAAATAACGGAGACAAAATACAAAAAAAATGTTACAGTCGAATTGAGAGTCACTCTCCTTTTTGGAACTCTGATAAAAATCATGTACAACATCTATACTTATAATAAATCTGTAGAGGGGTCAATTCTGTACATTAAATATATTTTCAAAATAACTACCAGGGGGTGATTAGTGATCGATACTGATGCCAAAAATGCAATCAGTAAAAATTTTGTCTCTGTCTGTCTGTATGTTCTTTATAGAAACAAAAACTACTCGACGGATTTCACCAAAACTTGGTACAATTATTCTTTATACTCCTGGGCAGGTTATAGGATACTTTTCATCACGCTACAAATAATAGGAGCAGAGCAGTGAAGGAAAATGTTGGGAAAACTTACTCCCTTTTGTAAGTTTCAGTCGCGTGTGTAACCTTAATGGTTAAACTTACATAGAAATTATGTATGACGGAAATATTTTAAATAAAATTGTCTAAATAAAATGTTTTACAGCATATGTCTATCTTTTATGGTTAACTCACAATAACACGTGTAACTCCTGATAGCTTAGCAATTCGGATAATAAGACATAGCGCCGTCGCAAGTGAACACTGAATCATGGTATAAGAATTATTTTTGTGTAGCGGTTGCCGTGCTCGACACGATGCGGTATAAAATATAATATAATATAGGTTTTATCAAATATTTGTAACTCTTACCTATTAGTTAGATCCGTGCCTTTCTATCTATGGACGGACGGACTACGGAGACTTAGTAAGTAATAGGGTATTTACCCATTGGAGATGTACCCATAAAAATGAGACGATAAATACCAAATTTTATGTATACTTAGATTTTGTTCTATTGCTATTTGCTGCTTTTTATCAACACAGCAAGCGGGCGAAAACTAGTTATAAAATAAAAATGGTGATTAACCACCCGCACCTGCCACAGACGGATGCACGCTGTGTGTGGTTAAAACGTTGATGTGTCTATGCAATCTTAGTTAAACATTTATGAATTATACACAAAAATTGTCAAAAATCAATTTTCTGAACGATGATGAAAAATTATCTATGATGATATTTTACGAATATGTCGCATCCCTAAATGAGTAGCGTCGAAACTACTAGAATGTATTGTATATAACGTCACATAACGAACAAGTAGATTTAAACTTAATTGTAATGAAAATAAGGCCCTTTATAGTTTGCATTGAAGTAATGAAATGTGATATTTACATTAAAATCAAATATATTTAAAATTAACAAAGGTTAATACTCAAAGATGATACGATACACCACCACAAGACTCATCTTTTTTTCTGCTTACTTTTTTGCAGTTGAAAACCGCATAACAAGGCATAATTTCTAATATATTTCGTGTTTCTTAGAGACAACCATGACAACCAATCATGACAACGGATCGAACGATTCTGACAACAAATGTGCCAAAATGTTGTATATCTAGTCATGATGTTGGTTAGCGCGCGATGTCTGAACGGCACTTCCACTGTATTTTCTATTCCGTGTCAAAAACGATACTTTTCTATGAAATTTGTATGAAAAACTGAGCTATGACGTCATAACATTTTTGCGTCAAATAGCTTACTTATTTCACAATAATTAGCTAAAAAAAATCTAAAACTTGGTGTATCGATCGATCAATGAATAAAAGTATAGTTATTTTTCAATATTTTATTGTATTGAAAAGTCGAATTAATTTATTTTTGACCTAGGAAACTACCCAATTATAAGTCCACGTAAACTGCAGACAAAAAACATTATAAAACAATTTGCACCATTACAGATGACTTAAAACTGACTCAAGTGACGTCAGAAGACGGCAAATACCACTTCGGTCCATTGGACGCGGCAAAAACTTACAAGATTACTGCTGAGAAAGAATCGTATGTGTTCAGTGAACCAGATGAAGATGGCAACATTGTCGCTCAGAAATTGGCTGAAATTACTGTGGAGCTGTTAGATGATGCTGATGGTACACCACTACAGGTGAGGCAATATAATAATACTTTTCTTTTAGCTCATTTGTATAAATAATAAAATCAAAATCTATTCATCTTTTCTAAGCAGCATCAAGTATCAATGTGAATTTTTCCATTATCATATCACATGTTCAGTACCGATTTGAACCTAGGTATAAGATAATCTGTATAAAATGGAAAAACTTTTTTGTATTGATGTTGGGGTATTGCCAACTATTCAAGTTTATTTTCATTTTTTTGCGATAGGCTGGCAAATTTGCCTGGTGGTGGATTACAATTGCTAACACAAACGCGTTACCGGCCTTTTGGGGGAAAAGGTTTAATGATTGGAAAGGGATGGGGAGGGAGGGAGGGAGGGATTGGGCCTCCGGTATCCTCACTCATACGGCGTAACATAGCTACGCTGTGGTTGTTTGACGCCGGTTTTCCTTGAGGTCGTGGTATCACTCCGGTCGAGCCGATCCATTCGTGCCGAAGCATGTCTCTCCCACACTTCGCGTCCAATCGAAGTCGTTTTTTTATAGATATTTTTAAAGTTTTAGTAGTGTTGTAATAAAGTATATGTTGTAACAGGGGGCGCTAGTATCAGTAAGCGGGGGCTCGTACCGCCGCAACGTGGGCAGCGGGGCAGACGGGCGGCTGAGGTTCTCGTCGCTGTGGCCCGCGCAGTACTACGTCAAGCCCAACATGAAGGAGTACCGCTTCCAGCCACCACACCACATCATCACACTCGAACAGGGACAGGCACACCACATTACACTCAGGTGATTAGCAATATTTGTCCGTTTAAAATATTGCAGATAATATACTTGATGATAAGTATTCAGCTAATTCTATGGAAGACCTAAGCATTGCTTATTGCCATCTTTCATCTTCTCTCTATCTTTCATCTTGCTTGAATGCTTAAATATCTTATTGGGTCCATTCAAGCAGGCAGACGACAATCCGATAGTTTCTAACTCAAAACAATATCGCTTCCACATCTACCGATCGTTCGACCGTGTCCACCAGTCTCGACGTTAGGCGATTAGATCGTCACGCCATTTTGAAGTTGATAGCCAAATGATATGTTTTCCTAATTTCAATTTACTTCATAACTTCTATTTATGGTGTTTCATACGCTGGAAGGTGTTTATTAACTTTGGTATTCTTTGTTTTGTGTAACAGAGGCGTGCGTGTGGCGTGGTCGTGCGTAGGTGCCCTAGTATCTCTGGGCGGCGCGGGCTGGGCGGGCGCCACGGTGCTGGCTGTGCCCACGGACTCGCCGCCACACTGCGCCACCGAAGAAGCCACCACCGAACCTAGTGGAGCATTCAGGTCACACATACATATTTTTATATATATAATAACGTTGCCCTACGTACTAATGGTGGTGCGTTTACAAACATACAACTTCACAAACGCATTATACTTACACCCGGAACAATAATTTGTGGATTACACAAAGAGTTGTTCCATGCGCCACGTTGCGCGACATCCAGTTGCCCAGCCACCGCGCCAACGGTGTAGTCAAATCATCCCCAAATCTTCAGCGCGCACTCTCGCCCGCGTAGTAGTATGTTAAAAATAACAGCCTATGTGTTATCCAGAGTATCACATGTCTACATACCACATATCGTCCATCAGTTTTTGCTCTAAAGAATAACAAAACATACACCCATACGTTGTCACAAACTTTTACATTTATAATAGTAGTAGGATGTCCATGTTATGTAAATGATAATGAAAATAGTGTTGCCGTCTTGTAAAAGCTATTATTTATCAACAGGATTCGAGGTCTTCTACCGAATTGCGTCTACAATATCCAGTTAAAAGAATCAACCGCTCCAGAGCTATTAGGACTTAAATTGGCTAAGGCACCTCCAGTTTTAGAAGTAAGACTTTTTCACTGCTACCAAAATTATTTTAAATACTTGTGGTAAACTTTTTATTATGTAATAGATCGGCAAAGGAGCAGACGGATTACCTGATGATAAGCAATCAGCGCCGCCCATGGACACCCGCCACGGAAGAGTTACGAGTGCGTTGCCTTTTAGGGATTAGGAATTGCGGAGGGATTGGCGAAACACAACGCTGTGGTTCTTTCACGCCGGTTTTCTGTGAGGCCGTGGTGTCACTACTATTTTGTCTGACTTGCGTGATGGTTTTGCGGTTTTGCAGGTGAAGGACAACAAGGATATAGAGAACGTACGCCTGATAGGTATCCAGCCCCGGCAAGTGACAGATGGCAGCGTGGTAGTGTACACGAGTACCCCCGCGCACTACCGCGCCCTGCGGCTGTACCTGACGGCGGACAGCTCGCAGACGGCGCTGTACTCGGCCCGCCTGGACCCCGGCCCCGGGGCCCACAACGCCGGCCTCCTGCACGTCCTGCCCCGCCTGCCTGCGGACAACCTCACCTACGTCCTACGGCTCCAGTGCTCCCTGTCCAAAGCCACGCATTCTTATGAAGAACCTGTATACTACTTCGTCTCCGATGGCCAGTACAAACACTTCACTATCGAGTTTGAACCTAAGGTAATTTCCCTTAATATATTTTACTAGCTACTTTGGAGCGGTTTCACCCACAGATCGTAGCGTGGTATTTTATAGCTTATAGCCTTCCTCGATAAAGGGACTATCGAACACAAAAACCATTGTTCAATTCGAATCAGTAATCCTGGAGATCAGCGCGTTCGAACAAACAAAGTCTACAGCTTTATAATATTAGTGTGGATTACATACATACAAATACCAATAACCACGGTTGTGTACTATTTGAGAAGGCATAATATATATTACACAAGTGAATTTCTTGTGTAACCATATTTGATGCCGTTTGTTTTGATTAAAAAGATCAGTTTTATATTGAACTCTAAAAGTTACAATAAGCATACGTGTCTTCGCAGGTCAAGACTAGTGACCAAGAAGTACGACAGACGTCTTTACTGGTGCTACCGTTACTGGTACTTCTGGGGCTTGCGTGGCGCTACCGGGACCGACTGCTGCAGTCCCTGGCGGCCGCCGCGGCCAAGGCAGCCCGACCCACGCGCGCCCCGCGACCCGAGCGCAGCGCTGAGACACTGGACCGCGCCAGCATCGACCAGATCGTTTCAGCACTCAACCCACCATCCAAAAAACCCAAGAAAAAACAACTCTAGGGCTCACAACAGAACAGTTCTATAACTGTGAGAGATAAGTGATTTTTAAATCCCCATTTTATTTTAAAATGTGGAGACAGGTATTCTACAATATATTTAAACACGTGAGCTATCAATAAATACGATTTTAAAAATAAGATCGCGTGCTAATCCATTCGAATTGGTTTTACAAATAAGAATATTGTGTTGTAGCGAAAATATATAAAAACTTTACACACGTTTACAATCGAACAAATACGTTAAGTAAATAAGAAATCAAACTAAATAAGTTTTACATCAAATAATAATAATGTATTATGTTCACATCAAATGGTAATGTCATCATGATCCGTATTATCCAAAACGAATGATCTTCGTGCATTCGATAACTAGTGTACGATGTCTTTTCTAATTGAAATAAGACTGCATTTCGCTTGACAAGACCATTTATTTATTTCGGTTATAATAAATCAGTGAATATCTATTTGTAAGAGTTAAATCTCCTATTCTTATGTAAATGCAATCCTTTTCACCATAAATTCGAAACTCAGTATTTTATTGTGCTCTTAGCATAATTTTTTGATTTATTGGACTGGCGGAATAACGGACCAATCTTTAAAATTATAATTTACAACAAGACATCTTTAGTCTAAACCCGATTACAGAATGTCTATTACGAGTTTGTATTTAACGCGACCCACACGTTACTGCGAGCTCTCTGATTGGTTGGTTAGCTTCTAAAAAGCGAATCAGCTGAACGTCATACATAACTGTCGTTTTAACAAACTCGCACTTGCCAATCAGTAAGGAGGATATTTAAGGCATTGTAAAATTTAAAGTTAATATTGGTTTCGTAGGTATCGAGTACAGAACTATCAAACAACTTACTTTCGCAATTATAGTATAGCTGGGATTTTTCCATACGATTGGGCCGGCTTGACCGGAGTGATACCAAAGCCGGTTTTCTATGTAACCGGCGTTTGACACGCTTCTGTTGTAAATAAGGTCGCTTCTAGTATGGCGGATATCCACCAGCGGCAACGATTGCTTACCATCAGGTAATCGGTATGCTCGTCTTCACAAAATACAAAGTGAAAAACCAATGTTGTATATTCCAATAAATTCATATCATTCGATCAGTAACATTATTTTAATAATTTATCTTTGGTTAAGGTGCAGTGAGTGATTAATAATAATTATTTATATTTTGTTGTGCATTGTTTTTAAATATTTTAAATGCATTTATGTGATGTATGTTCTGTTGGACGGGAAAATAAAAAGGATTGTTTGTTTCAAACTGTGTTTTAATTCCGTTGGTGTCTTACAAGTTGTTTTATAATATTACAGAAATATACTTTCAAATAGTATCAGGTAATGAACGATTTATTTGCTTTTAAATTTTGAATGAACAGGCAGCCATTAATTTATATTTATCCTCCATACTTTCATAGATATGGGAGCAGTTTATCATTTAGTGGCGCTTTATTCATAACAATCTCCAAATCTTTCATTGCAGTCAGCGATGGATCTTGCCTGGTGGTCCCACATTTTGGCGTTTTCTTTGCTGTAATTAAAATAAGTTAATAATTAGGGTCGCCTCCCGTAAATATTGATTTAGCGTGCATAGATAACATAGTCTTTTTTGTTAAAATGAAGTTTGTGGCAAATAGGTTTTTTAAAAATAGTTTTGCTTACTTGTTGATTCGTCTTTTGAGGTTTCAATATGAATGGTCATATCATAAAATGTTAGGCCACAATCTTTGTGTTAATTTTTTTATTATGAAATATAACTTACTTGACAAAGTACAGTTGGAAGGCAGCAAAGAAGTTTCTCTGTGATCTCGCGTGCAGCTTGCACAGCGCTAGTTTTTCACACTCGTCCGCCCTGGTATAACGTACAAAGATATAGTAAATGCTTGTGCCACGGGTTAGGTAGAAGTGCCAATCAGCGTCCTCCTAACATTTGAAATGTGTTTTGGAATGTCTAATAAAAAATACTTGCAAAACAAATAGTAACCGAAATGCTGATTTATGTTTCATTGATCACTGTAGAATAGGATCAAGTAATTTTTTTGTCTGAATTAGAAGAAAAGTCTGCACTTACTGCCTCTTAGTCCTCATCTTGGTGACGGAGCTATCTCCTCCACCTCCGAGGGCAAACATGGGGTTAACAAACCTCCGGCTAACATGATGCTGTACCGCATTTGAGTCAACGTCTGGAACAAAAAGTAAAATAATAACAAAAGTAAAAGTACAATGACAGTCAGTTTTGTAAAAAAAAAAAAATTCAAAAGCTACAGTACATAGGTTGAAAAGGAATACCCGCTAAATCTACTAATATTATAAAGAGGTAAAATTTGTATGTAGGGTAATCTTTGGAACCGCTGCCTGGTCGGATTGCCAAAATTCTTTTACTGATAGATTGCTACAATGTTCCCGAGTGCTATAGGCTAAAAAACATCAGGCTACGACCAAATGGAGCCGAGCAGTGATAACCAGATAAACTTGAATGTATATAGAACCTAGTTTTTATGAACTATATGCTACCTAAGTTTATCGATCACTCATATGAAGGTGTTAAATGAAACAAGCTCTTTGTGATTATGTCCGACAGGTATCTTTGTCTAACTTTAAAAACACCGCACGCAGTTATAAAAAACTAACTACTGCTACTAGCTTTAACGGTTTCACTCGCTGCTCGGCTCCTTTTAATCGTAAGGTGATGTTTTATATATAAGGTAGAGCATTCAGGAACATTGTAGCTATCAATTAGTGAATAAATTTTTGAAATCTATTCAACGCTTTCAAACATTACCCCCTACATACAAATGTTACCTCTCTATAACACAGTACTTAAAAATATTTTTGAAAAAAATAATATGAATTTTACCAGTCGTCTCGTGTAAATCCAAAGGCTGGCACAAAACCGTGCATAATAAAGCCACAAACACTAACAGAGTGATCTTCAGCATATTGAGCAGAAAAATGAATAAAGAAGATACAATTTTGAGACCTTTAAAGGCTGCCTTGACCAATATCTGACTGATGCATTTTCGGTACTCCCGACCCTATATATTGTGAGCATCGACCAGCACTGACGCGTATCGCAACTATAATGTAAATTATAAATAATACTGGCTTAATACGGTGTTAACTAGTTAAAACTATTTGCTTAAATAAATCGTGAAGGGTTCTGCTCAAAGCGGATTATAGGAAAACTATAGAGGTTACATTTGCATTCATATTTGTTCTTTTTTGGTGTATTGTGAAGTGAGTTAAATTTTATTTTCCAAGCTTTCAACTTCAAATTAATGTATTTTTGGCAACTTCAGGAAGAAAATATTAAAAAAAATACAAATCACAATCTTATTTATTAATAACACAATTACAATAAACAACAATTTAAATTTTAATTAAATAACGAATTTTGAAATTACAAACATAGATCAATCTAAACTAAAGACACGCAAAATTAATAGCAGACAAGACAGTTTAACCCTTCAAACGAGCAGAGGTTCCCTTGTACCATGTGTACTCAACGCAGAAAGAGGACTCCACTGAGCGCGCAGGCCCTTTTATAGGCAACCGTAGCTTCTCCCACCAACATCCCCTCCGATGACAGCCAAGACGTCACTCTTCCGCCAATACGGCCTCTCCTGACTGGAGGACGTCCCCGTTCTCCTGCGGCTGGGGCTGCAGGGCTTCTGCAGCTCTGGATGTGCTAGGCATCGGTTCAGGCGAAGTATCGATGGTGGGTTGCGTATCGACATTGGCAGCTTGCTCAGGCGTAGACTCCGCATTATCATCATTGCTATCTGCGCCTGAACATACAAGGAAAAAAAAACATTAGTTATGAAACTGATTTTCATCATAAAATTCACATACACAATTTACAGTGAACCATAGGCACTACGTTAGCTTAGTTCACAAAACCAACAAAGAGGAAGCACGACGTTAGCTATCTTTGTTAACGAGAAACATAGGCACGACGTTAGCTTGTTTCTCAAATTTGAAAATGAACACATGACATAGGCACGACGTTAGCTTATCATGGTTCACACTAAAATAACATGACATAGGCACGACGTTAGCGTATCATGAAAAGAATACAAACGTATGACATAGGCACGACGTTAGCATATCATACGTCTTACCATCAAAGTATGCAGCGCATGTCTCTGGAGTCCACTCCCCGCGCCACGGCTTCATAAACTGGGCCGCAGCTTGCGTCGATTTGCCATAGGAACCTGCCAGTAGTTGCAGCTCGTATCGACCATGGGGAAGCGCTTTGACCACGCGATAGGGTCCGCGCATGCCGGAGTCAAGCTTGCCAGTCGATTGCGCCTGCTTAATAACAAAAACAAGTGAGTTACATTCAAATGATCGGGGGGATTTTCGACCAGCGTTCACAGTCTCGTCTTGTTGACGTTGGTTCCGAGCTAAACGCTCCGAAGCTCGTTGTCTGTGCATTTCTCTATGCGCTTCACGATTTGGATGCGAACTATCCAAGGCCACGTCGCGCACCAGGTGACGTATGAGGGGCGTAGCAGCTTCAATACCAACCAACAAGTTCAATGGTGAAAGCTGAGTGGTTTTCTGCTTTGTTATGTTAAGAACTAGCTGAGATCGCCACATCAAGTCTGCCCATTCATCTTGACGATGATTGCATTGTATGCGAATCATGTTTAACAATGTTCGACAGTAACGCTCCACCTGCCCGTTTGAATGATGCATCTCCGGAGTGATCAGATGCAAATCAATGCCCAACTCAGTTACGAGTTTTGTAAACTCTGAGCTCTGGAACATTCTGCCTCGGTCTGCTACTATTAATTTTGGTGTACCAAATAGAGAAATGACATTTGTAAAAAGTCGTTTCAGTTCGTTAGCGTCTTGACCAAACATAGGATACAAAAGACAAAATTTTGAAAAAGCATCGATTATAATGAGTACATAGCGATAACCATTTGATTGAGGTAGAGGACCTAATGTGTCTGTATGAATTACTTCAAAAGGGGTGCAGGGTTTTTCCCAAGAATGTATTGGCTGCTGTGGGTCTCTAGGAATCTTTTTATGGGTTAAACAAATGATACAATGGCTTATGTATTTTTTGACAAATGACTTTAGTGAAGGAAACCAAAAATGTTTTCTAATAAGCTCTAAAGTCTTATCAGCGCCAATATGATCATGTTCATCATGAAATATCCTAAGCAGACTAAGCCTATGACCTTTAGGTACATAGCATAAGTACCTGGGCTCTTCTCCCACTGGAGAACACTTATAAAAAAGCAGGTCATTTTTGTGAACGTAATGAGTAGTGTCTAGCTGTCCGTCTGTCAGTCTTTGGATAAGCTGTTGTGTCTCTTCGTCAGCCGCCTGCGCAATTCGAGCCCAATTCTGTTGTCTGCGTACTTCGCAAACATTAACAGGATTTCGGCTCAAGTAGTCTGCGTGCGACATAGACGTACCCTTACGATACTCTAGGGTAAAGTCGAAGTCCTGTAGGTACATCCACCACCTGGCAACACGGGGCAAGAGATCTTTCTTTTGCTGCGTTGATTTCAGTGCATTACAATCGGTCACTACTTTAAAGTTAACGCCGACCAGGTAGTGTCTGTAGTGTTGCAGGGCCTTGACAACGGCTAGCGTCTCGAGCTCGTACGAATGATATCTGGGCTCGGCACCCTGCGTTCGCTTGCTAAAATAACCTACCGCTTGCTTGCATCCGTTCTCATGAACCTGAAGAAGCACAGCGCCAAAACCAATAGAACTTGCGTCCGTATGGACTTCAATAGGCAAGTTAGGGTCGTAGATTGCCAACACAGGCTCACTGGTTAATTGTGAGATAATTTCTTGGCGTGCTTCTTCTTGTTCTCTTCCCCAAAGAAACGGTATACCCTTTCTCGTGAGTTTAGTAATCGGGGCCGTTCTAGCAGCGAAACCCGATATATATCGGCGAAAATAACTTGCCAAACCTAGCAACTGACGAACTTGCTTGACCGTTTTTGGAGTGGGGGCGTCAACGAGTGCCTGGACCTTTAGCTCACTCGGCCGTACCTGACCCTGACTTATAGTGCGGCCTAAATATTCAATTTGAGTCGATAAGAATGAGCATTTCTTTAAATTGATAGAAAAAACCTGCCGCAGTCAGTGTCTGAAGTACGTCGCGGAGAAGAATAAGGCCCTCATCTATCGTATGGCTAAGAATCAGCACATCGTCAATGTACACAAGGGTCTTACCAGCCTCAAGCTGACGGCGAAGTGTTTTCGATATAATACGCTGATAAACGACGGGGGCGTTCGCCAAACCATAGGGCATTTTTAAATACTCATAATGCCCTTCTGGTGTGACGAATCCCGTGAGCGGAATCGACTCTTCGTCCAATGGGATTTGATGGAACCCTGTTGCCATATCAAGGCTGCTAAAAAATTTGTGTTTCCCTAACCGGTCAATGTGGTCGTCAATCAACGGCAAAGGAAAACGGTCTTTGACAGTAATCCCGTTAAGCCTGCGATAATCTACGCACATGCGGTCTGATCCATCCTTTTTCTTTACTAGGAGGATTGGGCTCGCATATTCAGATTCGGAATCTCGGATAATACCGTTGTCTAGGAGTTCTTGAATAATTCCACGAACTTTCAAAATTTCCGGCAACGAAAGTCTGTATGGTCTATAATTAACAGGCGTATGATTATTTAATTTGATAGACATGCTGCCAGTATTGACTGTGGTGGCAGCAGTCCCGGAAATAAAGAATTTTGAAAATTCGTTGATCAACTCAAGCAGCCTTTCTAGGTCGCGACCGGTCAAAGGTGTCTTAATGGGGGTATCATGTATTGTCACAGCGCACATAACGTTATATGGCGACCTATTATTATAAGCAAGATGTTGTCGATCACGTGTACGAACGTAGGTCACTCCGTCACGATTTAACACATCAGTCCCAACAATAACAGGCGTGTTTAGAAACTCTGGCGATACTGCATGCAAGTCTACCTCCAAGGTTATTTCATCGAATTCTATCGGCAACGTGACATAGTAAGTAGATTCAACGTCTTGACTACCGATACCTCTTAAAATTCTGAAGGCAGGCTTGCGCGCGCATTTAAAATATTTCAGTAACGAAGATGAAATCAGTGATATGCTCGACCCGCTGTCGATGAGGACATCGACAGGTATGCCTTGAATGACCGCTACAACAATATCGTTACGCCCGCTGTCAAGATTCTTACGACAAAAGTTAACATTTTCCGCGTTATTCGACTCTGATTTTTGTTTAGCGAAACACGTTTCTACCCTATGACCAGGTTTTTTGCAAAAACTACATGGCTCTGTTTTACTTGAGCTGGAGACTGGATAATTTCTTTGTACATTTCCATTGCTATTATTAGAACTGTTAGCAGCCTGGCGTTTGTGACAATTCGAAGACTTATGACCATATTTCCCACACAAAAAGCATGTGCCATCTTCGAATTTTCGCTTACGCTGACTTGTTTCGAGGGTAGATTTAAAAGAACGATCATTATTAGAAGGGTTGGTATACTTTTTTGAGTTTAAGTTCGATTTAACGTAGATGGAGAGGTATTCTACTAATTCGTTAGGCATTAGCTTTGCATTTGTGGCAGCGGCGCGGATTTGAGGATCCATTACGCCTCGAATCACAATTGCAGAAATGAGTTCATCACTTAAGCCCTTGACTATACGGAGTCTCAATAAAGAGCGACGGGCATAATCGGCATATGTTGGGTACCTATCAGAGTTTGTGCTCATAACCTCGTATAGGATATTCGCTACAGCTGGCTTCCTAGGACATAAGGGCTTGAATTCCCTTATAAAGTTGCTCCATGTGCGGTCACTAGTGACCCACTCATTGAGCCACGTCTTCGAATCTCCTTTGAGGCAATTCCCAATGCGGGACAAGCATTCATTATCAGTCCAATTATTTGAAACCTTCGCGCGGTCTACCTCCTCGCACCAAGTGTCTATATCATTGACACTAGGATCGAAATTAGAAATAAAATAAGCTTGGTTGGATCTTA